TCCCACAAGAGTGTCTCACAAGAGTGTCCCACAAGAGTGTCCTACAATAGTGTCTCACAAGAGTGTCCTACAAGAGTGTCCCACAATAGTGTCCCACAAGAGTGTCCTACAAGAGTGCCCTACAAGAATGTCCCACAAGAGTGTCTTCTAAGAGTGTCCTACAAGAGTGTCCCACAATAGTGTCTCAAAAGAGTGTCCCACAAGAGTGTCCTACAAGAGTGTCCCACAAGAGTGTCCCGCAAGAGTGTCCCAAATGAGTGTCCCACAGGAGTGTCCCACAAGAGTGTCGCGCAACAGTGTCCCGCAAGAGTGTCTCACAAGAGCGTCCCTTAAGAGTGTCCTGCAAGAGTGTCACGCAACAGTGTCCCACAAGAGTGTCCCACAAGAGTGTCCCACAAGAGTTTCCTACAAGAGTGTTTTAGAAGAGTGTTTTAGAAGAGTGTCCCACAAGAGTGTCCCACAAGAGTGTCCCACAAGAGTGTCCCACAAGAGTGTCCCACAAGAGTGTCCCACAAGAGTGTCCCGCAACAGTGTCCCTTAAGAGTGTCCCACAAGAGTGTCCCGCAACAGTGTCCCACAAGAGTGTCCTACAAGAGCGTCCCACAAGAGCTTCCTACAAGAGTGTCCCACAAGAGTTTCCTACTAGAGTGTCCCACAAGAGTGTCCCGTAAGAGTGTCCCACAAGAGTTTCCTACAAGAGTGTCCCACAAGAGTGTCCTACAAGAGTGTCATTTGGACATATGTAGCTTTTCGAACGTGTTTGCATTCGGGTTCGTGGGCTCCATCTTGTTCCTTTTGTAGGGTTCCAAGTACCTTCTCAGAAGGTACTTGGACCCGCCAAACCTACATAACATTTAACAGTGTCTCCAATCACCTTCTGAGAAGGTACTTGGACCCCCTAGAGAGTGAAAGTGTTGCTTTCAAGTGGTGGTTCGTTTTCAGCAACGTTTGGCCTGACGTTAAGCCTAACTTTAGACTTGAGATTGTCTTTTGCAATCAGCCAATGGGAGCCTAAATATAGCTGTATAGTATAGCGGGACACTCCTTCTTCATTCAACCCATGCGATGGGTCATTCCCAACAGGAAAGGAGCCGCGAGGAACTCTACTAGCTAGAAACATCCTGTAGTGCGAGCGACATCAACCTCAGGAGTCCACATTGCCGTGCCGACCCTTCGGCGCACCACGCCGCGCGTGCCGAAGGGATGAAGCGCCGAGGCGTTTGCCTGCACCTCGTGCATCGCCACAGCAGCACCATGGATCCAGAGGTCTCCCGGATACTCCCTCAGGCGAGGAGCGAGCGGCGAAGCCCTTCCACAGGGCGAGCCTTTGGAGGGGTCCAGTGAGGGGAGTGGTTACGTCATGGAATTACCCTTTTCTGAAGAAGTGGATTGAAGAGCATTCTCTGTGAATTGTTGTCACCCTAAATCTGCGCCCATCTCCGAGATCATCTCCCCACCAAAAGGAAACACACATGTTTCTTCTGGAACCTAAGTAGGAGTGGAATCATCTCCACCTAACTGTTCATGGACCAAAAACAGAAGGTCTGGGTCTGACGATTAAATGTTCGAGTTTAAAAACCATCTAACACAAATGGCACATCACTATCCCCCAAAGTACATAAAACAACACATCCAAGAAACATACAAAATGCAATGTTCAAGCAACCAAAACAAATCCAACTTTAAACCAGTGGTCACAAAGGGGGTGGTTTTTAGTAAGTGAGTGGATAATGGGCACCCCTATCTTCCAATAGGCACCCCTTTGTGACTGCTGGAAAGCATGTTTAATCAATGAACCGTCTCACCGTCTTCGTCTCACGGAAGGAGGAGCTGGAAGACTTGGAGGTGGCAGACTCCCAGGCCTTTCAGCACTTCATCTCTTCGCGACGCTCCTGGTGGTGCTGCGACGTCTGAGGAGACATATCCCGGTTTGGGGAAGAACCAAGAGAGGTGAAGTGACCTTAGGACCCGGTGGACCTGGGGTACCTATACCAGCACCCTCCAACAGGTCTCCTCTGGTAGCTTTTGGATACTTAAAAGTGTCAGGTGGTGACTTGTTGGAGGGTGCTGGTATAGGTTCCTCAACTTCCTCTGTTGGAAGGGCCGACTCCTAGGACCTCTTGATTCATAGCCCCCTGGACATGGATTGTAAGACCATGGTCTAGTCTAGACCGTTCATTTCGATTTTGTGAAGGGAGGCCTCTACAGTATAGGTTGCAACGACCGGATTCCCTGCAATACTTCTTGTAAGAAAGAGTTCTCATGAATCGTCATCCGAGTCTCCATTTTCAGATTGAACAAATTGATGAATGGACTGCCAAAGCAAAAGATGTCATGAGCTGAAAGTGATGTTCCTCAAATTTTCGGGACCGATTTGGACCGTGCAGTCTTCAAGATGTTCATGCTTGACCTGTTTCACCTGGGAGGTTCCGGATCAAACCCAGCAGTCAAAAGGTTGCTCCCGGGAAGAGGCCCGCATGGAACTTGATGGACCTGCAAGGAAGACGATGTTCCTCTACAACCCAACCGTGGTTCGGGCGACACGACCCGTCCGTCCGACCAAGTCCGGTTCCAAGACTCCTTAGGCCCTTAGGCTTTCCTTGGCCTTCCAATGACGCTTCCAAAAGAAAGGCCGATTATGGTTGATCTATAGTCTTAAATCCTGAGTGACCTGATGTCAATTTGGTGAAGACTCTAAACACATGACGCTTGGAATTTCTAGGGGGGACTGTGATATAGATCAACACCTGACAGGGTGGACCGCTCGGCTGCACGCTGTCCCCGCTAAAAACCGCCCAAACCTGTTCCAGGAGGCTCGGAGCAGCTCGGTCTCGGGTCCTTTGACCCCGGCTGCATCCCGTGGAAGATGCTGACGGGGCAGGTCCTCCGCCCATCTAAACGAAGTCGACCACTCTCGTGGTGACGACGGATCGAACTGCATCGATGCATGGCCGATGTGATGGAAAGTGATGCCAAGGAGTCGAAAGATGAGAGATGTGATCAGACATCGGTCGTCGTGAGGATCGGGTTGGTCGTTAAGGAGAACAACCTGCCGAAGGTGAGGGGATCAAGCGCAGCCTGCTCGAGGAAAAAGGGATCGAATTGCCTAGGGAGGGAAGGCGACGGCGCGATCGCAGGATGAATCATGTTGAACAACCAAAATGGGTGTGGCAGTTTCTGAGCGCCAAGCATTTAAAGTCATGTGGCCTGGTCGGCCATTCTCTTCCAGTCCCAATTGATTGGCTTTCAACTTTGTGGAAAACAGCTTCCCTATAGGTCCAGTCGTACCTGGTCTCAGGTTCGGTACGACTGGACCCTCCTGGCACCTACAATCACCGTACCTGAGAAGGTACGACTGGATCCCTACCTCTTCTGTTTTCTCCTCCCGATTCCTCCAGGGCCCCGCTCCTCCGCGCTCCGACCGCCTGAGCGGCACGAGACGACCGAGGTGGAGGGCTGGATTGGCAGAGCTGAATCCACCGTGCCTCGGGCAGGATGTTTTGTGAGTATTCCTAGCACTGACACAGTCTGGGTGCCCTGGAGTAGGAGGCCTGGTAGACGTAAGGTAGGGTAGTCGAACGCCAGGACACCCAGGTCCAGGATGACCCTGATTTGTGATGTTTCAGGATCTTTTTCATGGATGTTTTTTTCCCCAAAGTGAGGAGATATGGAGGATCTGTGAAGTTTGAGGGATGGAAGAATCATGGAAGAACGAGAGTGATCGATCAACCAAGACGATCAAGAGTCGACATGACTCAGACTCTGCTTATTGGAGTTTGTGAAACGAATGGGATCGTGAGGATATGTGAGGTGATCTTTGATCCCAGGATATCCCAAAAATCATGGGTGGATCTAGCTGTGTGGAAGGGAGAGCGTTAAAATGATATAAGTCACTGACATTGGAGGTTGCGAAAGGGAGACACTGTCAATGTGGGTCCATTTGGGGCATGATGTTTGATGAGGTTGGCGGGTAGCCCGCATCGGGTGGAGCACTTGCCGCTGCACCCACCCAGTGCTTCCATCTTCCAACATGTTTTTTCAGACCACCATCGCTGGGTTCCAGCGCCGCGTGTAACCAAAGTTAGAACAGTAGAAGCTGTTGCCAGGTGTTGTCCCAACCTCTCAAACTTCGATGGTGGAGATTCTCCAACATCTCTTATAGTCCCAAGCAATTGATACCTATGGTAGACGTAGGGCCCGTAGGGTAGTGGGATGACCGTCCAGGACACCCAGGTCCAGGATGACCGGGATGACCCTGCCCAGACACTCCATGGGACTGCCAGCCATATATGCCGCCCCATTGACCCCTCTGGCACCACCCCTGGCCGTTTTGAAGGCAGTCCCATGGGTCGTGTCATGGGGTATAGACTCGTCCTTCACCCTCCAACCCGTCAAGGATTCCCCCCAGCGCCGCCGCCTACCTCTTCGACGGCGTCGACGGGCTCCGGGACGGGCGCATCACTCCGCCCGAGTCGGGGAAGCCCGGCCACGCCGCGCGTGTGACCGTCGCAGCGGTGGGGAGGGACCAGCTCCGAAGGCGTCGTTCAGCACCTTCAGGACCTCGGGGTCACCCTCGCCCCAGCCCACCACGATCAGGGACCTTGATTGGACACCCCTTGGATGGATCCAGGTAGGTGGTTTCGTTTATGAAACACCTTTTCGGAGATGGTGTGGCATGGTGTGGCTCATAAAATCTTATAGGGCGTGTTCCACTATAGCAGCTGTATGGTGGCAGCCGGTTGTCTTCATTGAAGCATATGGAGACTGAATTACTCACGGGACGGCGCCCAAAAGGCATCCAGCACCATGCAGAGGCTCAGGTGCTGCACCGGTCGATGCTTCTGGACGAAGACAGTGGTTGCAATGTATAGACTCTTGGTTCATCAACACCCCCCAGACACGGATGGTATAACCTCTTCACCTGGGGGGGGGTTCAAATATTATGAAATCAACTCAAGGGAGGAACTGAGGAGGACGGGAACTGTTCGTGTCTGATCCACCTGTTTTTCATCCACCGCGGCGCGCCCTACGCCGGTCCAGCGCCGCGAGGCTTCATGGAACCTTGACCATCGGCAAGCTCTTCCAGTCGCCGGAGGTCGATCTGAGCGAAAGCGGGTTCAGCGTGGAGGGTTCCATTGAATTTATTTTTTCCGGATGTTTGTGTTTTTTTTGTTCATCTGTTTTTGGTTCAATAGCGTTTGTTGTTTCGGACTTTGTTGTTAGGAATTTTCATGAAGGTTGTACTTGTTTTGTGTGGAGTCCTCTTCTTGCATGATGCCTTTCGAAAGGAGTACTGTACTTGAGTCACTTAAAATCAAAACTCGTGTCTTGTGTGCAATGTTATAATGTTGTTTTCCAGGTTTCGCCCCGTATGTTCAAAGAACCATGTCCATTCTGCAGAACCTGCAGGATGCCTGGAAGATCTTCCTAAATTGTGAGATTGCTTTTCATGTATCACATGATGCTTTGTGATCCGATTCGGTTGCGATTCGAAGGCGCCCCCTGACTCGCGTAGGGCTGTCCATTTGGACAGAATCTAGCACAAAGAAACACATACCAGCACCCCCAAGGGGTGGTTAATGGACACCACTTAACAGCTAAGGGGCTATTAATAGACACCGCGCTTGGAGGGTCCTATACTGTATATATTGTAAAATATTGGACTAGAGCGACGCCCAACCAATGGCATGCTCCTTCGAACCACCCCGGAAGTCAAAGCTACACAGACACCATTTGCGTTTGAGACGACAAGAACTCGAAGGACAACTTAGCAGCTCCTATTTGTAGACATGCGGCATGCGTTAGAAATGCTGGAAATGCCTTTGGGTCCTATAAGCTGTACTTGCATCACTGGAGGTTTATGTTTAGGACGGCCAATTGCTGGGTTGCTTGGTGGGTTCATGTGGCTTGTTGGCGTTGCAGAAGAATGCAGCAGTGCTGAGAGGTTGGACTGGACATCTCAGAAACCCTCTCGGACAGGGTTGGATGGGAGCATGTTTTAACAGTAGACTATCCGGAACTCGGGGTGCCCGGCAGGTGTGTCGCCCACTATGTTCCACTCAGGTTAGTAACAAAACTGGCAGGTGGTGACCTGTTGGAGAGTGGTAAATATACAGATCCGATTTGGCTTTGTAGTGCAACATCCGGAAAAAAAAACGGTTGTTCAGGATTCAGGCTATTTTAAACAATGGTGGGTTCGACTTGGGGCCCGAGAAGGGCATCGCTGAAGGGGTAGCGGATGCTGTCCGATTCGCTCCCCTTACAACGGAGCCCGCGCCCATGGCGGTGAGGCCTTGAGAAAGGCGGTGCATTGGAACAAGGCGGCCATGGAGCATCACAAGAAGGCACCAGCATGCGATTTGTCTTGCATGGAACAAGGCAACACAAACTGATGTGGTGAAGTTGGACTGTTCATGAATATACAACATCAATCAACATCATATATACTTACAGAGGAGATTAGGGTTTAGGGGTTTTGCACTCGGGGTTCTTCCTCCACATCCTCTTTCTTTTTTTCAACCCACCTGCACGGCTCAGTGTGTTCAACGGTCGACACCGTCGAGGTCGCAGGAGTTCGACGAAAGGTCGCTGCGAGAGTCGTTCGCCTCGGGCGAGGCCGTGATTTCCCAGACATGACCTGTCTGGGCGTCGCATATTTACATTAAGGGTGGTGGATCTGGGGGCCAATGGAGGTACATATCGATGCGATGGCTGCCATGCACGAGTGTTTGGGTTTGGATCATGCCATGTGTTCCATGCACGAGTGTTTGGGTTTGGATCATGCCATGTGTTGCCCCAAGCCGGGAGCACCGCGAGGTTTCCAGCTGGATCCATGATGCCAAGTGCGGAACCCCACACTTCACTGGATGCACTCGAGGCTCGTCGAACCGGAGATGAAAGCGGAAGAAGAGCTGCACTACAATGCAGTTCATGTAGGTGGTTGCTTCTATTTCAATCCCCTCATATGAAGAGGTCTTACCATATTACGTAATGAGGTTTTTCTAATCATCATCAGCCTACATTACTGGTCACGTGAGTGGTCCTTCCGTGCACTCCTGCTCGGTGCTCGGTCAGGGTGTCAGGGTGGTATCCATCTTTCCTGGCTAAACAGGTCGCCGGAAGCTCCAGGAAGATCCGGCCCTGATCGGCTTATCGAAAGGGCCGGCTGGGACCTTTCGTTTGCCCTTCATCCAGTTTTGGTGATGCCAAGTGCGCCAGATGGCAAAGCAACGCATTGCGGCTTTCCATGTTTCCAAAAAACGACGCAATGCGTTGGGTGCTATCAACCCCCTCCTCCAGCCTGCCTCCTTTGTCCGGTCCTCACTTAAGGTCCCACCTCCACCCTCCAACTTGGACCTTCATCCTTCGTACACGTCGCTTGCTTCCTTCGTGCTTGCGCTGCGTGACTGCGTGGCTGCGTTGGCCGAAGGGCCCAGGAGCCCGCCCGTCCTGGCGTTCCTGGGGGTGGTCATGTGGAACGCTGCAACTCGACTGGCTCAAGCTGTGGCAGCAGAAGCCTGAGGGTGACAGGATTGGGAAGCTGAATGGATGTTGCACCTTCCGGGACCTGACGGAAGTACCCTAGAAGTCGAACCACCATTGTTTTCACTAAGGGTTTTACACTACAAACACCAGATCAACCATTTTAAAAATGGTCGACTTGACTTCCAGGGTATAGTTATATATATATAGGCTTGATGCAATCACATGTGTGCGCTTGAGTGTCCAAAGACGAAAGCTTGGACCAACGACAGGTCAATGTATATAGGGTATGAGCATCATTGTGCCAGAGTGATTGTAGGTGGGGTGATTCTACCACAGCCATGGCGATGAGATTGTCAGCTTTGCAGATCAATGGTGAAGTGATTTCGCTGGAAGTTCGACCGGAGATGACGGGTAGAGAGCTGAAGCAGCAGATCAAAGAAGTTCACTTGTTGGACGAGGTTGCTCGCACATTTACTGGGGTGGATATTGTTGTTGGAGACCGCTTGCTGGGAAATGATGAGACAGTGGCAGATGCAGGACTTACTACAGATGATGTTGTGAGCATGGCTTTCAAACAAAACATGGTGAAAGGCTGCAA